TCTAGACACTATACTCCTATTGATGCAACCAAGAATTGCATTGGCTTTCTTGACAGCCGCACCACACTGCTGACTCAGTTTGTGGTCTACCAAGACTCCTAGATCCCTTCCACAGGTACTGTTGTCTAGCCAGGTGTCTTCCATCCTATATCTGTGCAGTTCATTTTTTTATGCCCAGGTGTAGGACCTTACATTTCTCCCTGTCGAAATTCATTTTGTTAGTTTTGGCCCAGGACTCTAATCTGTCAAGGTCATTTTGAATTTTAATCCTGTCCTCTGGGGAATTAGCAACCCCTCCCAATTTGGTATCATCTGTGAATTTAATCAGCATCTTATCTATCCCTTCATCCAAGTCATTGATAAAGAGGTTGAATAGCACAGGGCCCAGAACAGAACCCTGAGGCACCCCACTAGTTACCTCTCTCCAAGACGAAGAAAAGCCATTGGTGAGCACCCTTTAGGTTCGGTCAGTCAACCAATTACAAATCCACCAAACAGTAGCACTGTCTAACCCACATTTTACTAGCTTCCTTGCAAGAATATCATGGGGAACTTTGCCAAAGGCTTTACTGAAATCAAGATATGCTACATCCACAGCATTCCCTTCATTTAACAAGCTGTAACTCTATTAAAAAAAGAGAGAGATCAGATTAGTCTGGCATGACTTGTTTATGAGAAGTGATCCAAAATTCTTTTATTTGATCTCTTCTAACTGTCCCTCACAACACACCCTCTGCATATCTAAGGGTCAAAGTAAAACTGATTCCAATTGAAAGACATTCTCATATTGTGCAGGCGATGTATTGGCTGAAATTGGCCAGTATGAATGATTCTCGCCTTCCTAGGAAGTGTTACACAGAACAGCTTCAGAATCCATCTTGAAAATTCTGGGTGAATTTAGTTAGACCCATTTTGCAGAACTATGAGATTGACACAGCCCCCCTTCCTACCTTTGTTTCAAATAGAGCTAAGCATCTGGTTAAAGAAAAAATATGTCTTTAAGAGGCAGATCTCCATGCCATCTCAGAAATCTCCTATTCCTGTTGGTTCCCTTTGTATAAAACATTCTGTTTGGAGGACTACTTTATTAATTTAACCTCAGCCCCTATAAGGAAAGTGTTTACAGTTCTGCACTTTCAGTGTATGCCAACAACTATATTAGTAGGAATATATGAAAATGTTCCTTTTGATTAAAGACTTTGGATATGTGGATCAGGAGA